GGCCGGCCGTTGATGAACACGCCGCCGAGCTGGTTCACGCGACCCTACAAATATTTTGATTCTGAACCGAGAAATAACGAAACTCGGCATTTGTAATTTAGACTATCGTACTTTTCTACGGACAGTTTCTATTTTGTAACGCTCATGTTGGCTACGGATTCCCTATGGCGTGCGCGAAACCAAGGCCTAAGTCTAAGCCTAAGCAGCCTAAGCCTAAGCCTAACTTAAGCTGAAGCCAAGCGTAGGCGTACGCCAAACCCAAGCCTAAGCCTAAGCTTAATCTACGCGGAGGGCCAAGGTAGGTCCAGCACAAGCCAAAGTCTAAGGTTTAGCCTCAGCTTAAGCCGAAGCTGAGCGTAAGCGTAAGCCAAGCCCAAGCCTAAGCCTAAACTAAGCCTGAGCTTAAAGCTAAGCCTAAGCCTAAGCCCAAAGCCAAAAACCACGACAAATTTTCCCACCTGCCCCAGAATATGGGTAAACGCCAAATTCGACGGGTCGGCCGTCATCGTCGCGGTTTAAGGTATACAAATTCAAGCCGAAGAACGCCAAGGAAAAATGGCGCGCTTTCGGGAGGTTCAGAAATGAAGTGTGAACAGCTTCGAATGGTGCGGGCCGGGGGTTCGTCCCGTTTTGGGAATGGCTATCATCGACGAAGGTGGTCGGATGGGGGTGCAGCCCAAAGACTCCGCCCTTCCCCTGACCTACCGTAGCCTATAACCATGCTCCCCCGGAGAGGAGAGAGGAGAGAGAGAGATAGAGAGAGAGAGAGAGAGAGAGAGAGAGAGAGAGAGAGAGAGAGCGAGTAGGCTCCTGTCCGGGCTGAGGTGTCTTTAAGGCATACCGCCCGTTCCGTGCTCAAATGCGAAATTTTTTAAGGTTTTGAATTTTTCTAAAAACCAAAAGACTTGTTTTTTGACGTTTTATACATCATTTTACAACCCTTGCGCAGCTCTACAAGAAAACGGCTCGGAAATTTTTATAAAAATCCAGACGCTGCCAGAAAAAATATCTGATTTATCCGCTGTCTAAAACAACTGAAATTCCGAAAAGTCCATTTATTAGCCCAAATTTTAATTTTTGTCGCTTTAAATGAAAAGGAATTTATTCAATTTGAATTTTCACTGAATTTAAGCTTTTCCAGCTTTTTCACACATATTTTGAGACCTTAAAAATGGGAGATCTACGTTAAGAACTTATTCATCCTCTATTTTGTGATTTTTGCTTTAGGCGAAACATAATTTTTATCGTAATTCATCCCTTTTTGATTCGCGCCAAATTTATTTTAGAATATTTTTTACAAGATATCGATTTATTATATCGAAAAACTCGCACTCCACTCTATTTCCACCTTAAAAATGGCAGACCAGCGTTGAAAAAAAAAACTTTTCTAGCCTCGGGTGACAAGAAAATTAAGGAAATCCGCATTTCACACGGCCACAGACCCAAATAGGAAGCACAAATTGCCATCCTAACCGCCCAAGGCACCGAAAACGAGCTGATGTCATGGTGATACCCTGGGGGGACATTAATTTACAGCCACCCGCAGATGTTTAGAGGACCGATGTCGTGGGAGACGGACCCGCTGAAAAGATCTGCATACAGCCTGGGGGCTCATTTAAAGGGGGAAACACCCGATACTCGATAAATGATTTGCATGTAGGCGATACCGGAGGGATCATAAGTCCGCACGCTTCCGACACGTGTCAATATGTAAGGGATGAGAGGACGCGGCTAAACGATCGAACAACCGATTTTGATGGATGATGACAGGAGAATGGAGCGAGAGAGAGAAAGAGAGAGAGAGAGAGAGAGAGAGCTGTACATGCGGTCTTTTTGATAATCTATTAGCCATATGGTCTACTAAAATTGTGGCGGAGAAACAATAAATGATGATTTAGCAAAAAAAATTCGGGGAATTTTACACTGACTTCTATTTTCTGATTTCTCATCCAATCTCTCTCACGATTTCTCGTCTTTCTCTCTGTCTTTGCAGCTATATCTCTCATTCTCTCACTTTCTCTCTCTCGCTCTCTCTCCCCCTCTCGTCACTTTGTCTCACTCGCTCTCTCACGCTCTCGCTAGTCATACAAGTTTCGGATGACAGGCAGCTAGATTCAGTTTTAAAGTTTCTCTCTCTCTCTCTCTCTCTCTCTCTATCTCTCTCTCCTAGCCAATCATTTGATAAAACTGAATTTCAAAATCTTTGCCAACGCCTTCGTCCATACTTTCTAAAAGCAGCGGAAGTCTACCGTCTTCCTCCGAAAAGGTATCGTCCCGTGTGGGTCACTGCAGGATTAGCGGCTAGCTGTGAAGTGTGCAGTCAAGGATCCGTGGCTCTTCCCCGATGAAAGATATCTCGCCAATCATCCCCAATCAACCTCCCGTCAAATCAGATAATCCCCACGGCTCCATTTGCCCTCTTCCGCTGCTTGCACACTTTCCCTCAAAACAGTTCCAAATATTCTGGGTATCTAACGACAGGTGCTCACCCTTTCTAACGCCTTTAGACCCCCAAAATTTCCTCGCTGACCATCTCCCCCGAAATTAGCGCTATGCGGCGCCCCCGCTGCGAATGGCCATTTCGCGCCTGGTTTCCGGTATCGCGGATGCAAATGCGGTGTCGCTCCCCTAGGGCTGCCAGTGACCTTTATTTTACCCCCGGCGATTCCCTATTAGCTTTTTCGACGGATGTTGCGAGGCGTGGGAGTGGGCCTTGGAAACTCGAGATCTCGGTCACTCCTACCGTACCAGGCCGTCATGAGATTGGTTTGAACATGGGAGGCTCGCAGGGTTGCTTTGGGAAATCGGGCAATTTTGAAGGGACGAACAAGATATTGACTTGCTATGGATTCGGCTGTATGGATTCCTATGGATTCCTTCCTATGGATTTAAAGGGGCACTTTCAGCAGCGCCGATTTTCCATGAAACGTGGAAAAATTTGCATGCCTTTCCGGTTATAGAGCGCGCCCTGGTGAGAGGTGCAGACGTTTTGTATGCGAATTTTTCCACTGTGGAAAAACGGAGCTGGTCAAAGTGCGCCCTTAAAACGATATCTTAATCATCAAAAAAGTTTATCAAAAAGTTTATCAAAATTTGATGACATAATTGGTGTTTGCCCACCGTTGACAACAGCCACCCCCCGCGTTGCGCAACACACGAAAAGGCGCCGCCCCAAAATTTACACCATTGCCCGGGGCCAGATGCGGCTGGCTGATCGCTGTGCAGCGATGTGATCATGATGAAGGGGTGGAGGGGGTAATGTGCGGGGGGCAGCCGCGAACTGTCGAATACTAGAGGCCCTTCTTTGTGTTGGGTAGATCGGCCGCTTGCTGATTATCTACTATGGGGGCATTCAAAGGGCACGGGTCAGCACATCCACTCGTCTTACGCCATCAATCAAGCCCTCGCCCCTCAGCACCTTGGAGTTAACACAAAAGGGCTGCGGCGACCAGGTGAGGAAAGTGTTTCTGAAAATTGTATAGGGGTTTACTGGCGGATTTCGAAGCGGATGGAAATGGGTCACCCTAGAATTGGTTCCAAACGAGGTAAATTTAAAAATTAAATAATCTCTAAAAACAACTTAAGGAACTAAGAAACCACTGTAAATCTAAGAAACAACTTAAAATTCGAACGTACTGCGCTCCTTGTTTATTGCGAGACTGCTATTTTAGCGGCAGGGGGGTCAAATAATTTTTCCAATGGAATCCCGTTTGGGTCCGGTAATCAAATAAAGACTATTTGGAATTTTAGTTTTTAAGTCGTTTTTAAGCAAAAAATCCTTCCTTTTTCCTGGTCAAATGTATAAAATATGGCGCAAACCGGGCGGAAACTTCAAATTGCAAAAATGTTTTCATACGTTTTTGTTATCGGAACACTAAAAGCACAATCCAGGTACACTACTTGACCACTGCGCATACATCGCCTAAAATAAGGTGAAGTTGACTACTGCCCCCACCATAATTTCTCTAGTATAATCTTATTACTTTAGGCATGCGTAGGATTCACTTTGTCGGTTCCGACAAACATCCGCCCGATGCTCACATCCAATCTGGTGCCGCCTTGCCAGTGAAATCCTCGGCGGCAAGTGGAGGCCTGTAATCATCCAATCATACTACTCCCGGCCTCCCCGCGGGAAGCCACCTCCACTCCATACTCCCCAGTCTACCGGCTGCCCGATAATCCGCAAATCCCGCGTCTTGATTGCCAGTTGGCTAATGCAATTTGAATAGGGCCCCCCACTCAGGAAAAACCATACAGACAAAACTTCCGACCAAACAACCAGAAAATAACTGTGATGGCAAAAAAATGAGAATCAACATTTATCCGGCTCTCTAACAACCTCGCAACAATAAACCAATCACAAACCGAAACATGGAGTTAAAGTTAAATAAAAGATCAGGAACGCTCTCGATTCCGTCGGGGCGGCGGTGACGCCGAGACTGATCGGCGACGATGACCATCATCACGTGGACGTTCACGATCACGGGGCTTCTCGCGGACACGATCCCCGTCTCCGCGCTCACGGTCTCGATCGCGTCGCTCACGACTGCAAAAAGGATATTTTCAGAATAGTAATAAATTTAGCGATTTTACACGCGTTTTGAATACAAAAATCAAATACCGATAATAAATAATTACCGTGGCGACTCGCTGCGCTTTCTTCTCCTGTCACGATCGTCGTCGCGGTCCTTTTCCCGATCCCGGCGCTCGTGCCTTCTGTTCTCTTGACGGTCATCTCTCCGATCGTCACGCCGTTCTGGCTTCTTGTCCTCTTCCTCTCGATCCGCATGCCTACGACGGCGCTCATCCCGATTCTCCTTGCGCTCGCTGTCCGATTCCACTTCTTGTTTAATTTCCTAAAAACTTTTTCCCACCAAAAAAATGAAATTACCCGTCGTGGTAGTTCCTGGTCTTTCGACTTCCTCTTCCTTTCTTCAACCTTCTTGGCCTCTGGCGCCTGCTTTTTCTTCTTTTTCTTCTTATCGTCATCGTCCGAATCAGAGTCCGAGGACGATGATGATGACGAGGAGGACGAATCCGAATCTAAAAAAGGAATCAAAGCCATCAAAACTGGCTACCTGAATCTGAGTCTGAAGAATCGGAATCACTAGAAGAGTCGGAATCGGAGCTGGACGAGTCAGAATCCGAAGCGGAAACAGACTTCTTGCGCTTCGCGCCCTTTTCCAGAAACTCGCGAAGATCAACCCTAAAAGAAAGATGAAGGAATGCGGTGAAGTTTTTACGTTAATCCGCCGAGCCCAATCAATGTGAAAAAGTTGATGGAGAAGCGAGTGTTGGCTGGATTGTCACGCGGGAAGAGACCTTCAAAGGCCGCTTGCAGGGTCCTGAAACCATAGGCTTTAATGGGCAAACGTGAGCGTCAAATAGGAAAAGAAACAAAACTTACGTGTCACGAATGCGCTCGTAAAGTTTCACAAGCCCCATCATCTGCGCGAGTTCCAGGAAGATGGTCTTGATGTAGATACGGCCGGAAGATGTTGTATCATTTTCGTTGAGCTTCATTTCGCTCAGCACGAGCCAAGTAATCGCGTCGGTGAAGAGGAGATGTGAAATGAGACGCGCCATGTTCCTCAGCTTAGTGATGTCAAAGCGATGGATCGTCGTGTAGGTTTCACGTGCGATCGTTTCAAACGTGGCCTAAACAAAACTAAAGAAAAGGCAGGTTGTTGAACCTGGAATTCTCGTTTCAGCCTGCAGAACCGCTCGCAAAGAAGGCCGTAGAAGCGTTCATACGTGCGTTGTTGAGCGCAGCAATCGACCAGCATGTGAATGAGCTCGGGCTAAAACGAGTAACTCTTTCACAAATACCAATGCAAATAGCAAAATTGCCACTAGCACAATGTGTTTTCAGCGGTAAGTGACTATCCGTTACCTCCATTTCCGGCTTGACACCCATCTTCAGCAGCTTGTGGGCAGCTTCTTGGTAATCTAGCGACGATTGGATGGTCAGGTAGACTTCACGACGGAAGGCGACCATATTCTGCTCAGTGTTGTCGATAATCTCCATAGGCTCGGCTTTTCCTGAAGCATCCATTTCAATGAATGAACCAATACAAATACCGGCTCCCCCTTGCTCCTTGTTCTCCTCATCTTCATCTTCATCGTCTGATTCTTCTTCGCTGCTTTCTCCAGCATCACCAATGATCTGTTCGCGGATTTCTTCATAGGCAGCTTCGTTCTTTTCGAATTCAGGGTCCATTTTGAAGATATCTAATGAAAAATTAAGAAATATGCCATGAAAACTGACTAAGCATATTCTCAGGATCCGTAGCATCTTCCAACGAGCGTGTGAGTGATTTGATCCTCTTCAGAGATCAAGTCGAGTTCGTCGACCAATGCTGGGTAATCCTACACAAGGAAAATTGATAGACAGTACTAATTTACCGCAAATTTGTCCCTTCGCACGGCCATCGCCGTCTCAATCATGTAGCGAATGCGGGAGTCCAGCTGGGCCTCAGCAAGGATGTTACGCAAACGGGCAAACACGGAATCGAGAGCGCGCGGAGCGATCTAAAAGAAATGCACTCATCAAACACGCTAAAAATTTACATCTGCCAGCTTCGCACCGCATTCCTTCAGGAAAGCGATGCAGACCTCCACAGAATCTTCGGTGGGCTTCTGCAGCATGAGTAGCATAATCTCCATCGACAGCAGCTCGTGAGCCTGGAAAATGAAGCTAATAAGAGAACAAAATCAACAATACGTACCACTTGCTGGTTGATCAAATGAGCAATGAATTTTGATACAGTGACCGTCGTGGCCTTGTCGTTACGTCGGAAAGAGCGCTTGAATTGCACGACTAGACGCCTGGAAAAGAGGATGATGAAACGGTCAAAAAGCTACTTTAGTGTCAATTCTCCGACGGACGGGAATTTCGAGTTGATGACAGCAACCAGGCCGGCGTATACGTGAGAGAATGTAGGGGAGAAAGCTTGAGCTTGGATGATGGAGCGAGTCAATACTCCCCTAAAAATAGGTATAAAAAGTTATTCATCGATCGTGAACTGACTTTCCGCGGATCACGTTCTCTTGCAGCAGTTCCCTGACAATCTGGACGAGGTTGCCGGCATTGACCTTGTTGACAAGACCGTGAATCTTCTTTTTCAGACGCTCCCAATTCATACGCTGGTATTGCTCGCTGGACTTGTCCTAAAAATATACATAAATGGTGGTGGCACGAAAACAACCTTGATCTGTTCCTGTAACAACTTCAGCTTTGCGGGTGGAATGTAAGCGCCGCCAGCGCGCGATCGCAGCAAATCGACGGGTTCCTTTTTCTCTTTGGGTGGTTCGTTTTCCCTTGGCCTTCTCAGGGCTGGCTTTTCTGCGCTTGGGATCGGGTGAACGGCTTCTTGTGCGCCTCCGCTGGTCAAGATCCCTCGAGCGGCTGCGACGGCGGTCTCGGGAACGGTTACGCTCACGACGACGATCTCGAGAACGGCTCCTCTCCGTCTCCTATCGCGCGAATCGCTTCGGTCCCGACGACGATCACGCGAATCACTACGATCTCGACGACGTTCCCGTGAATCGCTGCGGTCCCTCCGCCCGTCACCGGAATCATCGCGCTGTCGCTGACGTTCAGGCGATTGTTGCGGTGAATTCGAGCGACTTTTCGACTTTGACCTAAAAAACATTACAGACTTCCGGCAAGTCACACCTGTCCTTTTCCCTTGGCTTGACAATCTGCACAGTGCTCCTTATACGACCCCGATCCTCTGGTGAAGAATTGGTCGACGAGCCATCCTCACTGCCCGAATCCGCTTCCGGCGTCTAAACCGGCTTTTAAGTCAGGATAAATTGCGAACTCTCTACCTTTGCTGGGGGTGACTTTGACGATCGTTCCCTCTCTGGAGAACCTTCCGGGGTTTTTGGTTCACTAAAAAACAGAGAATTCAATGTAATGGACAAGGGCGAACCTGGGTTCAGCACTTGGTTCGCGGGACGAAGGCATCGTCACCTGAATTATTGTTTTTAAGCGAACCACTCAAATGTAAATTCAGATTGACCGAAACCATTATTGGGAACAGATTAAGTTGATAATGACTTGGATGCCGACCAAATGTCAAATAATCCGAGCGAATTCTTGTTTCCATTGTTTATTTCAGAATTCAATAACAAAGAGATCGGTAAGCGAATAATAAGTCAAAATGAAAATTAGGAACACGTAATGGAGGGGACCGCGACAGCATCGATCTTCAAGCCTCAGCCTCGTCCGCGCCACCGATGTAAAGAACGTTGTTGCACCTTTAAAAAAATCGATCAGCCACCCACAAGGTAGTACCTGATCATGATCTCTCCAAGTTGTCCCGTGTTGGTGCCGTCAATGTATTCTTCCGCGTTGCCGAGCTGAAAAAGCGGCGATGTAAAGTAGCAATTTAAACAGATCCAATGGTGTTTTTATCAGATCTCATTAATATACAAAAAATGCTGAAAGCGACAAACCTGGGCGTTCATATATCCGTCAACCGAGAGCAGCGTGCCTCGATATTCCATTCCCCATTTTAGCTTGCAGACCACCGGTTTCCCGATCAATCCATTGAGGAAGGGCTTCGGGTTGACAGGTTGCACTGACATCTGAAAAGCGCTTTATAGCAGCAAATCACCTAAAAAACCAAGAACAAACGAGGAAAACAAAAAACTCTAGACTACATAAGATAGACGATGAAATCCAGTATGCTAACTACAATCGCACTCATAAGGCGAACAAAACAATGAGATCAAATCGATTATTTCATGATGGAAATGTTGGAGGGGGTATAGACATTCCGCTCGAAGATGTCTTTGAAGCCATAGTAGCGTCGGTTCAATTGTGAAGATAGTTCTTTATCCGTGTGCTGCTTCTGTTCGTCAAAAAGCCTGAGCTGCTCCTCACTGACAGCCAGTTTTTCCGCCACAACACAGCTCCCATCCGGCTTGAGCTCCAACGCATGGACATCCGCCTTCGTCGGTTCCCCATTTGGAAAAGTGATTGGCCGCAATTCGATCAGATGTTTTATATTCCACAGCTCTTCATTGTAGGCCGGAGTGTTTGGAAAGACCTCCATCTTTCCGGGCGTCGGTTCCGCACCAAAAAGCTTTTGCACACGGTCCTTCGTCCATTTTGGTTCGCCGCTCAAATCACGATACAGCCAGCTGACCCATAGTTTCGATGGCGCAGCTTGCGACGCTTCGGCTTGTGATGAGCAGAAATCTTCAAACGTGGCCCCTTGCTTCGCGTAGTCGAATTCGCCCATGCGCCCATCTTTTCTTCTCGGCAGGTAGCGGAGCCATTTATTGCCTTTCCGGAAGACCCATTGGTTACGAATAACCTTCGCCATAGGCTGAAAAGTAAAAAAATATATTATTTTGGTGAGAAACTGGAAAAATCGACGGTGGAAACGGGAAGGCTAGATTTACGATAGTTATAAGATAGCGTAAAAGTTAATTATACCTAATGCAAGTCTTAGAGACCAGGGGGAAGAAAGATATAACAATGAGGGAAGCGCAAAACTCCGCTTTTTTATTAGCGCAACCCATATTTTTCGAAATGGGCGCTCGAGTCCGGCGCGCTGCAAACGACAAACCAGGGCGTTGAATAGCGTGCAACCGCATTACGCCACCAAAATCATTCGAAAATTCTCACTCGTTTTTTTGGAAAAGATCTCCAATATTTAAAAAAAGGAAAAACAGGATTTCTACGATGAAAAATGGCGGTGCGTTTTTCCAAACTGCGAAAAACATTTGCCTTTAGAAAATGAAGAAGAAGCAGCACAAAGAGCATTCGAAAAGCTCGAAGAAACACCGCAGTAAGGAAAAGAAGCGCCATCGCAGTCGTTCGACGTCAACGAGTCGATCCAGTTAGTCCAGTAAGTATACTTCTTGGGAAAGTGGTTTAGGCACATATTCACCGGTTCCCCGAAAATCTGAGAGAAGGAAGCACCGGAAGAGGAAGCGGTACGATAGTTCCTCGTCGTCATCTAGCAGTTCTTCCTCAGGTTTCTCTCGTGGTTTTGTTTTAACGAGCTTTTAGAGCCTGCCAGACAGATAATACATCGTAAAAAGGACACGAAGAAGCACAAAAAGAAAACAAAGCATCGCGCCGGAGACGGAGGTTTGGAAATAAAAACTAACAATTTTGTATTTGAATTTTAGAGCCCCGCTCCCGATCTAAACCAAAAGAGGAAACTCCAATCCCAGAAGACAAGGGTTATGGTAAGGGATTTCTCTCTCAAATTGATTTGCTGGCTTTAGATACCGACGCTTCGTTCGACAAATACGTGGATGATGGAAGAATTTTGGTGAAGAAGGCTTTTGCTCTCCTCCCTTCGTCGATCTATGAGCCTCTCGTTCCGGTGGAGCTTAAGGTATTTTGAATCTTTTGGAGGGTATTTTCAATGGTTTTAGGGATACGGAAAATCTGAGATCCTCACCCTTGCCATGAGAGCCATACAGGAAATCCCGCAATCAGACTTGGCATCTATGCTCAAAGGTATTAATATTCTTTTTAAAGCTGTATATAGTAAAGACGATTAGTGATAAAGCCAGGAATCGGTTCTTTTAGTGTTTTCAAGCGGTCTGTTATATTTTTGATATTCAAGTATTTTACGCGTCTTTTTAGTAAAAGCGGACATGGTTTGTCAGCGGGGGGCGGGGGCGGGGGCGGGGGGGGGTATTTTAAGGTTCTCGACGTGAACCTTTTTCAGTTCCGTTTACGTTTAGTGCTATTAAAACATCCTTTTTAGCTGGAGAACAAACGGCCGGGAAAATTTTCAACTCTACACGACCCGCAAGAACCAATAAAGCCCCTCCACAAGCCGCCGGACGCCCTGTTGATGAAGTCGAGCTGCCAGTCGATCTCGATATGGAGCCGGGAGAACTTGCCGATTGAGCCGGCGAACCACGTAAATTGCTGCAATGCTGTGATACTCATTTGTTTTTCCGGTTTCCAGACGGGCTTGAAGCAGAAATATTTTCTGTTCTGGTTGTAGGCATGTTAGTTACATGGTTCCGTATTTCGGGCAATCCTTTCAAAACCTTTGAATCCTTCCTTTGAAATTGTGAAGGCAAAATTTCATTTACCGTGCAGAATCTTCAAATTGTGCTAACAAATATTTCCCTTCTTCTTTGAAGCCTGTTGTTGCCCCGCTCCATTTTCCCGGGTAATAATTGTTTCGGAAAGCAAATTTCGAGACATTTATTCAATTTGTAAGTTATAATGATAAAATGTTTGTGCAAATGAAATGACGACGAAAGCATCTCCGGGTGAGATCACTTACCTTCGACGAAGGCAAGGGGTTTCGGGGGTAATTGGAAATAAATACAAAGAAAAAAGGTTGGGGGGAAAGTGGGCATTTTTGACGGTTGGTTGAATCACAGTTTTTAGACGTTCAGGCGGGGTTATTTGGGAAATTAGCTGGGGTCGCACGGTTAGCACGGTACCGTTCGTTTGCTACTTTTTATAGTAATAGACATCGACGATAGTGATCCATCGCATGTGATGGTTAAGAGTAAGGTTTTCGGGATTAAAAAAAAGCGGTTTTGGGTCCGGTAAACTTATAAATACCGCAGTAAAAACCGTGAGAACCGTGCGAAATTTGCCAATTTCCGAGAATTTTCAAAAAAATAAATAATGCAGGCAAGGCGACACGGGGGATACAAGTGAAAGAATGACCCATGAATGATGAATTGCCAAGAGAAAGGTTTGAATGTCCTAGGGGATGGTCATCGCCGGCTACAAGGCGCCGTTTTGGACGACGGGCATTGGCGTGGAAGAGACGCCCTCCTTGTCGATGATCTCGGAAGATCTGAAGCGGGTTTTGTAGGAATATTATTTGTGTTTAGTTGATAGGTCATTATTGGATCTTTACAGCTACTTACTGTGTTCTTCCGAGAGCAATCCGATGCGTCAAGGCTGGTCGCTCGCCGGCTTTTTCTGGAGCTGTCGCTGGCTCGATCGGGCCGACCTTCGGGCTTTTCCCGAACTCTTTGTGTAATCGGCTGATCAGCGCCTTTAATCGGGTGGTTTGTTTCGTAAGCGGTACGGAGATAGTTACTCGGGTTTAAACAGTTACTCTATCTGATTTGAAGAATTGGATCTTCAGGAAATAGTTCACCCTCGAGGGGCCTCCTATATTGCAAAAGAATCGTTTTTACTCTGAAGAATTTCGTGGGATTTGTATTATGGATTTTACCCTATCGTACCCCATTTCCCAGTTAATAAAAGTTTTAGTTCAAAACTAACCTGCGTGCGATAGATGCTCTCTTTCCGCTCGTGCGACCGTTGTGACGATCGCTCACTGGAATCGCTAGATGAGGGCGTAGGAGCTGGAAAATTAAATAATTCGCAACATGTCTTTCCAAAATCACCTTCTTCCTCTTTGGTCAACGCAGCGAGGACCACTGGCAACACAACAAGTCCGTGCCACATTCCGAGAATAACCACCACTGTGATCGTTTTCAGGAAGACGACGGCAAGGTAGGATTGTTTGAAGACCAACGGGGCCAAGGCCACCAGCGTCGAGAGGCCAACCTGCAGAATTTTTCGGGTTATATCACAAAATTAATGATTTGTAAAATCCTTGCATTTATACCTAAATTGTAAAGGTGGTTTTCTCGCTTATAAACACTTTTTTAACCAACCTGCATCAGCGGCCATCCAATCGTCGACAGCGCCTCCTCGACCTTGTCGACACGATTCCGCGGTTTTGCCTTGTAGTAGTGGAAGCACATGTGGGCCGTGTAATCCACCGAGAAGCCGATGGCCATCAGAAGGGCGGCCATTGACAGTGGGTCCAGCTGGATGCCCCACAGCGCCAGGAAGCCGACGATACCGACTAGAATGCATTGGTATTGGCGGTCACTTCGGCGCCAGTTCAATTCGCCGAATTTTTTTTGCGATTAGTCCAGTAATGACTAGTTGCGTAATAGTAAGTATTTTGATAGTGTTATAAGAAAAATTTAACGATCGATCAAGTAAAAGGCTATCTAAAAACATAGAAAACATGTTTTAAAGTACACCATTTTTTCCGCTTTACGTTGAAAAATTTTTATTTATCATTTTTCGCCCGCGTTATATTACCCGGTTGAATAAACCATTCATATAAGTAACACTTTGGTCGAAAAATGACATTTTTCCACTTTCTAATAAAATTTTGTACTGATTTTACGCCTAGGAATAGAACTAATAGTTTATGAACTCTTCTTCTATTGATATTCGAAGAATTGGATCCTACTGGAAAGACTGCGCCTTCAAAAAGGGCTAAACTAATTTTCCGTCAAACGTACGCCCACAATCAAAGGCGGTAGGCTTCAAAAAATAAAAATTCAAATTTAGCCCACTTGTGATTGAAAACACTGAGCAGCAAGCACAGACGATACAGAACAGCGACGGGATGAAGATGACACAAGCGATGGCCGTGCAGAAAAGCGAGGCGCCCACCGAAGACCACACCGTCGAGTCGATCAACATTGTCTGCAATTGTTTTGAATCTGATGTAAACACATCTAATAGAATAATATAATATTAGATTTACCTGATCAACAAACGGCGAATGATCAGAGAATGGGTACACCTCGAACTCGGCGTACTTTGCCGCAATGCTGCGCCAGGCCTGCACGGCTGGGATCAGCTCGTGGTATTTGATAACCTAAAAATGTTTAGACTTAATGCTATTCTTAGAATACCAATAAAACTACATATAAAAAGCAAAAAAAAGAAACAAACCCCAGCGAAATTTGTCAGGAAGAAGAATTGGGAAATGCATTCCGGCCGGTCTTCATCGCACGCTGTCTCATTATATTTTACAAAGGTTTCCAGGTAGAAATACGTTGCCGACTAAATTTTGATTATATCATAGGCTATTCGTTCGGGTTTATCAACTTTCTTTTATAAGACCCATACCTTGAAAAAGGCGGGGATCTCTGTGTAGGTGAACTTTGGCTTTTCAATTTCTTCATCATCCGAATCAACGTAATACTAAAAGCCCGATTGTAACGTATTTATCTTCTAAAAATTACCTCTAAAAACTCTTCATATTGTCGAATCCAGAAAAAGGTCGAATTGGGCCCATAGGAAAACTCGGCCGTCTCGTACTCGCCCACAATCTTTTTGATCGCTGAAATGTCAGTGTCTTTCCCCGCAGCACCCCCATCCGCCTCGATAGCTCAGTTGGGAGAGCGTTAGACTGAAGATCTAAAGGTCACCGGTTCGATCCCGGTTCGGGGCATCCTTTTGCTTTTCGCCCAACTTACTCGCCATCCGCTCCGGGTCGCGCAGATCACCGGGATTTTTGATGAACACCGAGATGGGCTGCATGCTGCGCATCGAATCTTCGAAGTGTTTTTGGAATTTCTGGAATTCGGAAGGTTTTCTAAGGATCTCATTTTCCGGTGTTTACCAAATACTTTACAAACCCATAAAAAAAATCGATTTGCCGACTATAGATAGCCGTTTTTACCCAAATTTCAACAATATTTTTTTTGAAGTATTTTTTCAATTGTTCTCCATTTTAATTAAGCCGTAAATTGCCTAAAAACACTATTAAAATACTAACTATTACACTACCAGGTATTTCTCAACTTATTAGCGCCCTATAGGTAGAGACTTACTTGAACGTATGAATCTGGGAGTGTCATCTTCTCGAGCGAAATTAGTGTCTCGACGCGCTGGATGCCGTAGATGGAGAAATAATAGTAGACGAGCATTATAAGCAGCAGAACGGCCCTAAAGTTTATCTGTTTAGCGAGAAGAAATTGCACTACCGGGTGGTCCACGTTTGACAGGCTTTTGCCCACCATCTGATGGCGGCTGTCTGCAGGGTGACGACTTTTTCGACCAGCGACGAGTTGTGCCTGAAATTTATATTTTTATTTGATCCATTTTTTCGATGTTTTCGATACTGGACTATTAGCGGGGGTGCTAAAAAATTAAAAACCATTTATCTACCCTTTTATGCCGTTTTTCAGCACAAAAAAGCTCATAAACTTTATTGGAATGTTCTTAAATTCTGAGTTTCGTTAAATTTCTGAATATGGTGCGAAATTTTTTGTAAGGGTTTAGAAATGCCTAGTAACGTAATAGAAAGTGTCTTAATAGTGTTTTTAGTAATATATAACTATATTTAAACTAGAAAATTTAGCTACAAAATTTTAAAAAGTAATTTTGGTAAAAAATCGGCCCTTTCGGTCGAAAAATCGATATTTTGACATTTTTTAACACAAATTTGCAAGCTTTCACGTTTAGGCGGAATAAAAAACAATTTAGAAATCTCTTTCCTATTGAGATATAGGCTAGATAGTCGCCCCCCCCACCCCCCGGCTAACAGTCCAGTACCGCTTTTCCAGCTATCCCCATTTCCCTTCCCAACAGTTGTTATTTGTATCGAGTTGTACCATTTGGTAAACAACGTCCTTCCCCAATCCCATTAGCAATTATAGGAGCATCAGTGTAGTGTCTGGCATACCTGTGGGTTGGCCTTGAAACAGCAAAAAGATGGACTGCGGCCCGGCCTTTTCACGACGGCCAGACAGGGCCAACAGGGCGGTGAACATGATCAGGATGTGGAGGAACACACCGTGATCGAGACGGCACTGAAAAGCGGGTGGTGTTTTTTGAAAATCATACAAACTTTTGTTAAAATGATTTTACGACCAAAAGAACCGAGATTTTCGAGGTGTTTAGACGGGTTTTCTGGCTTGAAATATCGTTAAGTCTTACCAAAAAATTATTAAAATGCTCCCTATTCGGTTTTACGCATTGCGGAAAGAATGCCCCCGATAATGCGCAAGAACCAAGGTTTTCCAGCATTCTTACGCGTTTTAACATTTTGAAAATTCAAAAATTGATACCTGAATAGCGAGAAGGCCTTGACGGCAGGCGTAGATGATGTCATTCCAATGACAAAAGCCATAATATTTGTGATGGCACTTATGAGGATCGATGCCCCGGCTTCCTCTAGCGTAAAAGCCATGCGCTCGGCCACCGGATCCGTCGGCGGCGCGCGATCCCAGGCTCTGAAATTGGTGGGTTTGATTAGGTTTTCTTTGGGCTTACAAGGAGATCTTTTTATTGGCAATCGAGTTTGAGCCTAGCTTATGCAGAATTTTTCGCTGATTAAAACTACGTTTTCAGAACTGGCGAAACGATCAAAATAACAAAGTTATGACGTTTTCAAGGGCAAAAAACGGCGAAAGTTGGCCATTTTGGACACTTTTCACACTTTAAAGCTTCATAACTTTTGAAATATGGTCGTTTCGCAGATTTTGAAAACAAGTTCAGAATCAGCGAAAAAATCTGCACAAGCTACGCTTGGTCAAAAAACATCTCCTTGTTATCTTCGACGCAATTCTCGAAAATCCAAAAAAAAAACCCAAAACAAACCTCAATATAATGAAGACATCATCTACCCCGATGGAAAGCACTAGGAACAGCGAGGCTACCATGATCGATTGGAACTAAAAATTACTCGTTTCCCTTAGAAAAATTCATTTTTTTTGTACAGAGAGATAAGTTAAAAAGTGCCCACCTTCATCCCCAAGAAGCACATAATTCCGGCGGCGGCCAAAAGCGACAAAAGTGGAATCAGACAGCCGCACAACGATTCCCACGGCTTTGAGCGTGACGGGTCTCGCCTGGAAATGGTATAGTCGTTTGAAATTATGCTTTTTGTATATTGTTATGGATTCGATTCGGTTATTTGCTTACTTTTTATCATAATTATTCATACAATTTTCGCTACTTCCGATTTAGCGGGGTATTTTTATCAACAAAGAATGCCTAGTAATATGCATTTATAGTTTTTTTGATAAATTCCTTTACATAGACTCGATAAAATCACGTTTAGAAAAATTTTAAAGTCGACATCTAAACGATCGTTTTGTTTTTATACCTAGAAACCGTGTAGAATGCTAAAAAAATGTAAAGTTAAAAGTTATTAGGCTTAATTTTTTTACACGAAAAGACAAATTTTAACGTTAATTACGACGTTATTTCAATATCCTTCGAGATATTGAAATACGTGGAGCGCTATGTACCCCTTATTATAATTCATTATTGCCCCCCCCCCGTTAAACGAGAAGTACCCGAATTTTCTCCTGTGCTTCCCCCCGCTGATAATCCTCCGTTGTTTCAAGCGTTGCACACATCCCGGCGTGTTGTCTGCCTTCCCTTTTTTGGGGGGTTGTGACGACGAGAGTGACCTCGAGAGTGGACTATCTATCACTGATTCCTCGCCCCCTATTTCCCCCCCAACTATCCATTGTGATGTCACACACAATGCCCTCCACTACTTTCCCATCGACACCCACAAAAAAGGACAAAATACCCCTACCCCGGGATCGGAGCCGGAAGAAAGGCTATCTCACAGCTGGTCAGCCGCCAAGTTTGCGGATTGAAATTTGCGGGAATCGCAGGAGTTTTGAGAGATTTTCAGGGTGTCGCCAGATCAATCAAGCTTCCCGTCTGGCCGTCATGGTTCCACGGGATTTTCAGTTTTTTTTCTTGGGCGAAAATCATGATAGCCACTGGGTGCACTAGACAGTCGTTCGGAAGGCAGGAAGTGGTCGTGGCGACTGTGAGAGCGATAGATCAGCAGACGGGCCTACTCCCATAAGTTTTAAAATTTCCGGCTATGGCAAGTAATAGCGAATATTTTCATCGTGCTTTCGAATAACATTAGCTATATAATCATCGCGAAAAGCGCTTGAGAAAACTTGGAAAAAAAGCCAAAAATTTGAAATTCTGGTCGAAGGCGCGGCGTCTTGCCGAATCCCCGGCAGCCAAAACGTAATATTTCCAGTCGTTTTATCCATAAATGGCTTTCAAATCTGGGGTTTTTGCTATCGGGATTTGGGCGTTTTCCTTTTTTTTGTATACGTCAAGAATTGCCTAGGGAAAAATAATGAGTAGTAACAAGGCTGACAATACACACTTTTTCATACTTTTTAATGCTTTTAAAATATATCGATATTCAATACCTAAAAATGAATAATAAAAATCTACCTAAAGCTGCTCGCCACGACAAAGGCAATCATCGCCGCCACGGAGCCGATGATCAGCGGCGCTGTCTCCAGACCCATCCGCCGCACTTCAGCCGAAATTAGCAGATCGCCCGTGATTTCGCACTGTAAAAATGGTTAATAACTTTTTAAAGTTGCAAAACGATGGGTTGTTCAACCAAAACCAACTTCGAACAGCTTCGAAAACTCGGGCAGCTCAAAAGTCTTCTTCGCCTCGATCAACCAATTGTAGATGACCTAAAAAAATAGAATTTTCGCGAAAAGGTGCAGTACCTTTTCGTCTTCGTGGTGGGACACCATGTAGAAGGGCAGGATGGCGGTGGAGAACGACTCGAGTTGCCCATCGTCGCTCAACTGTAGGTTGTACACGTTGTTACCTGGAAAATAGGAGAATTGGAACGTTCCGAGGCTCTTAGACAGTGGTTTTATCCGATTTTCAAAATTCTGATATTTTTGATCGATTTCATAAGATTTTTGCGAAAGCGGCCGAATTTTCGATCAATTTCCGAGGCCGAGTTTCTTTCAAAACCTAACAATTTCTGGTTTTTTATGCTTTTCTGTCAATCGGACGGCAGGTTTTTGGGAAACGTTTTGAGAAAACGCGGTTTTCCTGGCGAACAAGTAAATTTGGTGGTTTGGAAGAGAGAGAGAGAGAGAGAGCGAGAGAGAGAGAGAGAGAGAGAGAGAGAAAGACGTAAATAGGCGCTCGCGTAGCACGGCCCACCATAGATTTTGATACGCATGTTGGTGAATTTTCAGACCATTTCGATGTGACCAGACCACCGGCTCGATGTATTTTATGTGTTTTCCATTTCCATTCATGCCAAATCCCCCATTTCCCCCAATTTTTCACGCGCCAAGTACCTAGTCAGGACAAACCGCTGGGGGCGAAACTTTTGCTGGGGCATTTTTTGCGGGCGCTCCCCCCTTTCACCGCCCACCCGTCCATAGGTGTCATCTGTATGCAAATGGGCCGAAGATCGGGGGAGCGGGTGAAATAGGAATGAATCGTGGCGCCCGCCATGACAAAATGGGGGAACAGTGGCATGGCCGGGGGTAGTGTGATGGAATGCATTACCACCGGCAGCGCCATGGCAAAACACCTGGAGCAAGCAAAATTTTGATCCAAAAGTGTTTTAAAGACAAAAATAAATAGATTTAGGTGAAAACTGACCTATAAAAGCCTGCGTGCCGAATACGTCGAGATTCGGGTAGGTGTACGTGGCTGGATTGTCGACGTCGTAGATTTTCAAAAAGACGAGGAGCGGTGTAGAGAGCTCGCAATACGGTTGGCACAGCTCGCGGTAGGACCTGAGAAAGAAAATGTAGGTTTTAAGACTGAGTTTTTAAAGCGTAAACCTAGACGTAAGCTTAAGCCAGTCCAAGCCAAACCAAGCCTAAGCCAAGAGGAAGTTAAGCCTAAGCTTAAGCTTAAGGCTAGGCCTATGCCTAAGCCTAAGCCAAGCGCAAGCCAAGCCAAGTCTGAGGCAAAACCTAAGTATACGCCTGGGCCTAAGCCTAAACCTGAGCTTAACCTAAGCTCAAGGCTAAGCCGAAGCCGAAACCGAAGCCTAAGCTCAAACCTAAACCTAAGCCTAAGTTAAGCCGATCAATTTTTATTAGCCCAGATTTTAATGGGATAAACTTTCTTCTTTCGATAAAAGAATCGATAAAAAAATGAACAAATTTCTTATAGGCTCCAAATATCTTTTTATAAAATTAAAATAAGTTATATGATACATACCATTCAGCCCCATGATACGTGATCGTCACATTTTTTTGTAGATAATTGATGAGTTCCTGCAGCGTTTCACGATATTCCGGCTACAATGGACAACAAATTACGCCATATTTCGATCTCATACCCGTAACAAATTCCCCCGATCTTTTGCCTCAATCATCACATACGATGGATCAAGCGTGCCATTCTAAAATTGGCGATATAGGCCGATTTTTAAGGTACGATTTGCCTGGTTCAAGAACTCGCGCGAGACCGCATATTCGCGTCGACTGGGGGCGTCTTGGGGGCTGTACGCCTCGCGCACGTTGGACGTCTCCTCGAAGTAGATGAGGCCCAACGAGAGGATCGCTGGAAATTTAAGAATTATGAGTTATTTTAAGGCTAAGCCAAGGCATGGGCCGAAGTTTAAGCTTAGCATACCTGTCAATAGTAGCGAGATGAAGAGCACGAGCACTGGGGATTCGCCAATTTTTCGGCCAAGCGACCGGAAGAACTCTTCCTGGAAAAGGGATCAAATCAGTTACGCGCTGTAATTTTTAATCAAGATCTTGAAAAACTGCTCGCTATTTCTCTCTTTCGCTCTCTCTCTCACTCTCTCACCCACCCATTCAATCACTCCCTCAATCACTCACTCACTCACTCACTCACTCACTCACTCACTCACTCACTCGCTCTCTCTCTCTTGCTCTCGCTCTCTCTCGCTCTCTCTCTCTCTCTCTCTCTCTTTCTCTCGCTCCCTCGCTCTCTCTAACCCCAAAAACTAACCTGTGCATGCTCGAATCGAACTTTCACATGGGCCGTCCACTCGGAGGCCCGACTCGGGAATTTCTTTTCCAACGACACGATGGCTGCTGTGGGGGCCTACTCAAAGAGAGGCTCCACCGATTACGATAGCTTTTTTGGTGGCAGTACGTTGGAGGCGAAGTCGATCCGAAAAACTACAAATGTACGTAAATTCTCGTGCTATTTCGTACTTACCGTTAGCTAGTGTGGCTCCTTTTGTAGTTTCCTAGCGTTTGGAAGTGCCGATAAATTTTCTGAAGCCGTCACTTGCAGAAGATGCTGAAGAAGCCTGAAAATTCGCGATTTTCAAGGTCAAGCGTCGGAAATAAGTTTGAAAGCCAGAAAAGGAGCAACAACAAGTCGCAACCATTTTTAGCGGCGGCAAGGCAACGGTAAACATTTGCCCAGGAATCCAGGAAGCGCACCCCGGAAAATGACTGTAATTTGGCGCATTTCGTTGCCGCCGCAGATTAGTGGCTGGGATCATATATTTCGAAATGACCATTTTCAGGAAGGGCAAGGCGTAGTTTTTTGGAGTGACGCGTAACTTTGTGATACTGAAAACTTGATGTTACGTGCTGACTTAGGCTTAGCTTAGGCTTAGCTTAGGCTTCGCTTAGGCTTAGCGTAGGCTTAATTAGGCTTAGCTTAGATTTACATTTAGCTCGATTCTCAGTTAAGCTTCGGCTGGCACGTATCCTAGGACAAGTTCCAGCTTCTCTAAACCGGGAAGTACCCTCCGGAAAACACCACGTAAAATCCGCGCACTTCCAGAAAGCGAGCGCCGATTCGATGTTGTTCTTTAAACAATGCCCGTTTTCTGCGGGTCTGCGGTTTATCGGCAATAAAAGTACACGTGGCTCCGCGGGACGGTTTGGAGTAGCGGGTGGTCGACGACCTTTCCCCCTCGGTACGCAAAATGACAGGGAATCGTGCAATGAGTGACGGATCTTTGCTTGCACGTTGAGCAGGGGATGACGGGCGTTGGAAAGCGCACAAAATTGCGCTTTTATGCTGGTGAAGTAGCGTATTCTAGTAGAAAGCTTACTACGGAATTCAAGGCCGTCTAGCAGAGAACATCGAGGAAGACGGAGGAAACCTAGTGGCCCGAGCGGTGCCACTAGGTTTGAATCAGGAAAAGAGCAAGCCAGAAGGGATTTTCTTAAATGAGCAAGAATGACAATCCACCTTGGAGCTTAAGTTTTAGCTTCGGCCTAAACTTGAACCGATCTATAAGCCGAATCCGATGAGATCCACTATCTCAAGCTCAATCTCAATCGCACGCTCGATTTGAGCCCCAGGTAAGCCTGAGCTAAGTTTCAGCTTAGGTCTAAGCCTAAGCTCAAACCTAAGCCTAAGCAAAAGCCAAGCAAGCCTAGGCACAAGCCCATGCCTAAAAGTAAAGCAATTCCAAACTAAAAGTTGAGCCCAAGGGCCAAGCCTAAGCCCAATCTTAGGCAACACCCAAGCCCAGCTGAAGCCTAGAGCTCAGCTTAAGCCCAAGCCTATGCCCGAGCCTGTGACTGAACCTAAGCTGAACCCAAGCCGAAGCCAAAGCTTAAGCCTGAGCCTAAGCAAGACCTGAGCCCGAGCCTGAGCCCAAGCCTAAATCTAAAGCTAAGCCTAAGCCTAAACTTAAGCCCAGTCGAAGTGGCGGAAATGAGCCGAGATCAGGGTTGCTGACAGGGGGCATTGTGGGCGTGATTTCTCGGAGGTCTGGGGTGCCAGGCGGAAAAGTGGCATCAGGGGGAGAGGCGGAAGAAAAGCCACCCACACCCATTCCCACAACACCAAACAGACAAACTGAGATCTGTCTGTCTGTCTGTCTCTCTCGCTCTCGGTCTCGCTCTCTCTCTCTCTCTCTCTCTCTCTCGCCCCTACACCGTGATCCCATGAATATAGGTGTAACTCGGGACGTGGTCGCTTTTTACCACCCATGGGAAAGCGCAGAAAAGTGAGACATGGCATTTGTATTGTTGCGGAGTAGATGGGACAGATAGAAGATGACTGATTACGGTAGGTAGTAATGATCATGGAAAGGCTACCGTAGAAAAGGTGAACGAAAAGGAATTCGGAAAGTCAGAGATCACTGGGAAAAGTCGCTACCAATTTGGCAGGGGAAAGCAAAAATTGGGGGAATAGGAACAACCCAATATTTAGGAGAAGAGAGAGATAGGGCGAGAGCGAGAGAGAGAGAGAGAGAAAGAGAGAGAGAGAGAGAGAGAGAGAGAGAGAGAGAGAGAGCAGGGAAAGTCCAATTTCTGGAGCAGCTCTCCCCGGGAGTACAAAGAAGATACATCGGATTGGACGTTCGGAGGAATGGAACGGAACGACTTACATTTTTCGGTTGAAAATAATGTACGCGAAGCTCAGATTTTCAGGTGCGCAACTTTAAAGGAACTAGGAAGCCCCAGAATCGACGCCTTCGATCGACTAGGTCTTGACGGCTACACGGGGCACCAAATAACGGAATTGCACCTAGCAAAAGACGGGGTTTATTTTGAGACTTGCTGGTCTCTTTAAGGAAAAACTATACAGGGTGTCCCAATAAAAAAGGTCACGCTGGCATTTTGTCATTTCAAATCCGATCGACTGGAAATTTGGAACAGAGCTGCGGAAGGGAATTTAAAATGTTCACAGAAACTTTCAGCCGGATCGGAACAGTGGTTTTCGAGTTATAGCAAAAATAAACTTTATTTTACGTTTTTAACCTGGATTTCGCCGGAATTGAGCCTGGGGATGTATGGCAAAAATGAAGCGCCGACCCTTTTTTACCCCAGAAAATTTTTTATTTCGTAAATTTCGTCTTGGAAATAGGTTGTTTAAGTAATTTTAACAAGGTGTTATCATCCCCGATGTTAAGAAGAATGAGGGATTTAGGGCCGAAATTGATGGTAATTGATAGAAAGTCCAAAAAAGATAGCCGAAAAATGGAAGCAGAAGTGTTGAAAAAAACAGTATTTTTGTAATAACTCGAAAACTACTGTATCGATCCGGCTGAAAGTTTCTGTGAACATTTTAAATTCCCTTCCGCACCTCTGTTCCAAATTTCAGATCAAACAGATTTGAAATGGCGAAATGCCAGCGTAACCTTTTTTATTGGGACACCCTGTATATAAAAATCTGAACCGTAAAAAATATTTGATCAAAGTGTCTCCGAAACCCTAGTCCGCGTCGAATTTGCCACCCCCCAAAAAGGAGAACGCGCTTAAAAAAGCTGGCTTTAATGGAGCTGCAGCTGGGAGAAGAAGCCGAAAAAGAGCCCTTTCCATGCCTAAAAGGGGGGAAGGCGGATCGGAGCTTCCGGGGGCACTTCGAAAACGAGAACGACTTCAAACATGCCGTCATGCCGACCGACCATAGGTGTACAGTCACGGAGGAGTTCGCGGAATAGAGCACGGCAACTAATGGAGGCCATTTACGAGGGGGTACTAATGGCGTGCGGGTCGACTTTAAAGGGACCTGCAAGGCAAGGATAAGGATTTTCAAGCTATGGAACGTTGGGGATTTTAAGGAGCCCGCGATACGCGACACGTCTTCCCGCTTTCTAAAACTATTAAAGGAACCTGCAAGGCATGGAATGTGGATTTTGGTGCGTCCACAATACAGTAGCGATGCGCATATTTCATGGCGTAATTTACGCAATATTTTCACGGCGTAATGGAATCCGGTCGATTTAAAGGTTTGAAACTTTGGCTTATTTTTTAAGATAGTCCTGTTTTAAGAGCCAGCCATCCATATCACTAAACTTGCCTTCTCCAGCCCTTTAAAGCAGCTCAGGAGCTCGAAAAAGGTTTGTCGAATACGTCGATTAACGCGCTTTTCCAGTCCTGGAAAATATCGGTTTAAAGCATATAATCGAGGCCCATCGCTTGAATACACGCCGGTAAAGCCAACGCTACACACGTATGTACGCAACGATAAAAATCTAAGTCAAAATATTTCAGAACTTATCCAAAAAAAAGTAAAATTTAACGACGTCACCCGAAAACAAGCAATAGATACTATTCTCGATAACCTAAGGAAAGAACACGACAAGTTCGATGGAGATCAGAACGGAAAGAAAGAGCATGAGCAAGAGAGAAAAGAACATCCCGCCAATTTCACAACAAATGCTAATTTGGCGAGTTGTTTACGAAAGTGTATGGGAGGACGGTTTCACTTTCTCCCTACCTCTCCCACTTTCTCCTCCCTTTTTTATGCATATTTCTAGGGTCTAACGGTCCCTCTGTTGGTCAAAGAGCGTCTCCGAAAACTGTCAGCAAAGCAAGAACTTGAACTTGTTTTGAGATCGAGAAGAGCTCGTTCTTTTCCATTATCGGGGGGGGGGGTACCTTATATGCAAAAACAGCATTTCTAGGTTTTGTTTATTTTTCC